CCACGCCCCGGCTGATTTTTTGATTTATTGTAGAGATGAGGTCTAGCTGCCCAGGCGGGTCTCAAACCCCGCGGGCTCAGGCAATCCACTCACCTCAGCCTCCCAAAGGCGTGGGATTATAGGCTGAGCCACCGAACCCGGCTAGCTTTTTTTTTTTTTTAAAGAGACAGAGTCTTGTTCTATCACTCAAGCTGTAGTGCACTAATGTAACCATAGTTCACTTCAAGCAGCCTCCAACTCCTGGGCTCAAGCAATCATCCCATCTCCCTCTCCTGAATAGCTAGAACTACAGGCTTCATGTGCCACCATGTACAGCTAATTGTTAATAAATTTTTTGTAGAGATGGGGTTCTTGCTACATTGCCCGGACTGGTCTTGAACTCCTGGCCTCAAGTGATCCTCCCATGTTGGACACCCAAAGTGCTGGGATTATATGCCCAGCTGCTCCTGACATTTAAGTATACTCTCAGCCCCTAATTTACTAAAAAACTTTGTCTTTTTTAATTTGGGTTCAAGTAAGTTAGACTGCTTAGTTGTCCCCTAAAACCAATGAGCGGGTCACTACTTACTCTTCCCTTGGACCTATACCTATAATCTTTCTTAAGTGAACCTTACTCCTAGCCCCCTTCATCCCATCTAGGTCCAATTTCAAAGTAGGAGCTAAATCCTGCCCTCATAGACAAAATGAGAAAATGATTAATCTTTGTTCTTATCTTCTATGAGCTAAGCTTTAGCAACAGAATTATTATATCCCTTCCCAACCCCAGAAATAATCATTTTATTACACATATTATAGGGAAAATCCAGCACCAAGGAGGCTGTATGATCTTCCTATCTGGCAACTTCTGATGCATTTTTCGTTTTCTGGTTCTTTTTTAAATTAACATTTCCAAAATCCACATGTGTGTTCACATAAATAGCACTGCTTTTGCTACAGCAAAAATTGGCACAACTAAAATATACATATCTGGAGGAAACAGTATTCATCACTGACAACAGAAAGAATGGGCATTTGGAAGTTCTAAATGTGAAAAACAAATAATAAAACCAATTTAAAAGTTGGAACAGGCATGGGGTATATGAAGCTGGAAGATAAGTTTATAACATCTGATCAGATCTGGAGAATAGCTAGACATATGATCAAATAAGTAAGCTACTATATATATATATATATATATATATATATACTTACATATATTCTATTCTATATATAGTAGCTTACTTTTTTATCATAATTTTTTTGAAGAAGATCCTTTGACTATATACATAAAAGGAAGCCACTCAAGTTCTTTAGTAGGAAAAGAGCATGGTGAAAACATTGTTTAAAACATATCAATCTCTCTACCGGCAGTGTAAGAAATAAATCACAGGGAATACAAGTAGAGGTAAATGAGAGGGTGAGTAGAGCCAGAGTGCAACTAATAGCTAGGTACTGAGTGATGAGAGCCTAGATTGGGATAAGTATAGAAACCACAAGTAGAATCAAACAAAAAATGTCCATAAAGAAATAAAATGAAGCTGGGTGTGGTGGCACCCACTCAGTAGTAGTCCCAGCTACTCAGGAGACTGAGGCAGAAAGATTACTTGAGCCCAGGAGTTCAAATCTAGCCTGAGCAATGTGGCAAGATCCTATCTCTTAAAAAAACAAAACAAGGGAAACCTCCTCTGGTCCCCTACCACTATGGGAGTTTTTCTGTCCTCTTAATAAATCCTGCTTTCTCAAAAAAAAAAAAAAAAAAAGGGTAAGACACCAGTATCTAACACATATCAGTATCTAACTACACAGGTGATGTGGAAGATAAAAAAGGAGAAATAAATAAAAACAATAATGACAACACTAAGCAGTATGGTAGAAAAGTAAAATGGACTGGGAATCCAATGATCCAAGATCTAGTTTCATCTTTACTATTGAACAGCTGAGTGTACAAAAGAAGCTCACTCAACTCCCCCTCCTTGGGGAAAAGCTCACCATTGGCAAAATGAAAGGATTGCCTAGATGAGCTTAGGGTTCTAATGCTTTCATATCGCTAGCAAAAAATATGACAAAATTTACTTTATTACATTGGGGGGGAAGGCACATCATCTATTCAAGATTTATTAGTTTTGACAATCCGTTTCTGCATGCTATGTCGCTAGTTTTACTAACATTCCACTTAAATGTTGATGGGATAATTCAAATGTTATTATCTACATCTTATTTCACCACTGACGTACACTCCAAAGTGTACATCAAAAGATATATCTATTCATCATCTCTAGTGCCATTTTCATAGATAGCAAGTAAATTTTGGTTTAAAGTTCACTGAGAATAGGACTTAATTTGTAATTTAATTCCTAGCTCTGTAGCGAAGAAATAGCATAACTAGTTGAAAGTGTTAATTTTTGACAAGCAACTGATTTATGGAGATAGCTTTCTGAGTCTAGAAAGCTGAATAGGTCAATGGCAGCAGTTACACATAAA